ATAAATATCCGCGCGTTCCAGTTTAATATATCGGATGCACGTATAATCCGTTGTAAGCAAAATAAGTTTAAACTATTTATTGAATTTCAATTAAAATATTTATAATCTATACTATTTACATGCCTTTTCGCGCTTGCATAATGTTTACATCAATTGATTAAAATTCTTATTAAATATTCTAAGAATTACATATTGTCTAGATGCAGACTTTTTGCAATTTATACAGTGTGTGTCAGATATTTCATAGCTACCCTGCAAACAAATGATCTTTTTAATCCTTTTTWGCGTTGGCATAGAAGGATTCAAAAATTGCCCGTTTGTGGGGAGTCTCTGTCATTTCCAGCCACCTTCTTGAACAGTGACCAAGCCTTTTGCAGAAAGAGAGTGGGCATAGTACACTGTCGAGGGTAGCATGGAAAGTGAAAGCCGGTTCATTCCTGCAAACTAACTAAACCTCTAAAACATTTCAATAGTCTTCTTCACGGTTCCCTTCGCCATTTTGAAAGTTATCCGTGCCTTTGCATCGAAGCGAGACGACTTTTGAAACCTTCTTTCATACCCACAGACAATTATATGTCTCTATCATTACACACTCAACGGTTGTCTCGCTTCGATGTAAAGGCAAGGCTACCTTTCAAGATGGCGCAGAGAACCGTGAAGGAGACTATTAATACAATCGCTTTTAGATTGCCTTGAAATGAAATGGAGTGCAGTACAAAAGAACCCTTACAGAGGACGTACAAAGCTCAAATAAATAGCAGTTGATAGTCTGCTAGTTTACAAGCGTCTTGCTCTAGAATTTAGCTAATAAAATATCATAGAATTGTATAAAATACATTTTGGTGAAATGCATGAATGTGCGCTTGTCAAACTATACCTAAAATATATTTATAAATTTGATGTTTGATTGAGTATCAAGAATATGAAATATAGGTTGTATAGAAATTATAGTTGTTCTGAACATAACCAGTCGAACCTCTATTAATCGATCTCCCTGTTTTCCCCATAGGTGACCGCTAAATAGGGGCTCAACTGTACTGCTAACGTTATTCAAATATAGCTACAGTAAACCCCAGTAATCCGAACTCCCAAAACGTACTGATTAGACATTATGGGGATTCATGAACGCATTCAAGTTATTAAAGTTCACTAGAAATATATGGTCGTAGGAGTTCAAGATAGAGAGGTTTTGTGATGTATATGACATAATTGAACGATCGGATTTTTGATTAAAATTCTTGCTAAAGGACTTCAACGTTTAGAAACTGAATATAGATTTATAAAATATTATGTAAATAGCGTAATAATCTTTTGTGTCACTATTAATTAAGTCTATGAACGTTTTAAAACATTTTCTGTCTGACCTTAAAATATTATACATTGATTTAAGAGAAGAGACGCAACAATAACCTTAAACTGTATTAAGATAGAATTCATTGGCGTTGATTCTTGGGAGTCTCCGATCATCTACCGAGCGCACCATTTGGAGGATTTCGGTAACAGTACTTTTTATCCCCTGAAGATTTTCTACTAGAAATACTGCACAAAACCACGACGAAGCTATCCCGAGCACTCTACGAAGGTTGCTGATGATAAAACGCTGAGTCTCCACAGTGACCATTGTCCTCGACGAAGCTATCCCGAGCACTCTACGAAGGTTGCTGATRATAAAAAGCTGAGTCTYCACAGTGACCATTGTCMTCTTTCGTGAGACCCTCRATTAAAATTGMTGTACGAAACAACGACGAAGCTATCCCGAGCACTCTACGAAGGTTGCTGATAATAAAAAGCTGAGTCTTCACAGTGACCATTGTCCTCTTTCGTGAAACCCTCGATTAAAATTGCTGTACGAAACAACGACGAAGCTATCCCGAGCACTCTACGAAGTGACCATTGTCATCTTCCTGAAGACCCTGCACCGGACAAGCTGTATAATAAAAACACGACGAAGATCTTCCGAGCGCACCACGAAGGATGTTGATAATGTAAATGCTGATTGTCTTCATAGCAACCATTGAAGACTCTGATCTCTAAGTACTGTACAAATCCAAGAAAAAATCTTCGGAGAACAGCAAGAAGGCTGAGGAGCCTTCATATTGTATATCGTCGTCTTCCTGACAATCCCCCTTGGAAATACTGCACGAGATCAGGAAGATTTCCTGGATGTTGCACGATCACCTGGTACGAGTAACAAGACCACAGGAAGACCACAAAATAGTCCTTCAAACATGTAGATAGAACATCGCTCAGCACATCGTCCGATCAAGTTATATCGACCATGTTTAATGAGCGTTGCCATCTAAGAACATCAACTATGCATGATAACAAACTGCAACGTATCCTTGTTCGATTATCCCCACATGAACAATGATCACAGATGAAATAATTTCCAAATTTCTAAGAGAACTTATAGGATTTCTGCTCGACCATTTACTGACCAACAGTTACTGTATGTCAAAGAGAATTTTTTCCATTTTCAGGCGCATATGTGTGGCCAATACACCGCAGCTTCTTCGAAGGCACAACTACAACGTGTACAACATGTAAGTTTCTCTGGATCTTTAAATTCAATTTAGATTCTTCTTTCATAAATGTCTGTTTCCACGGACTTAGAATTCGAGCTTCCACAGCATAAAAACTTTTGAAAAAGTGACTTTTTCTTCTTTTTCGTTGYTTTCTGTGTCTGATCAGCTTCAGGCATTTCATTAAGAGCCTTTTTCCGTTGTTTATCTTTCTTAGATTTAAGTGTCCTTCTCCTTCTWGCCTCTCCTAAGATTTCTTCTTTTCGAGAAATGGTTTCGTGATTGAGCARATCCACCCCTTCTGGTGGCTGTTTTTCCGTTGGTTTTCCCGCATCCGTGCGATCCGTTGAAGAKGCATGACTTCGCGAAGAGCTGCGAACTTCTGARTTCTTAGTAAGACTTCGTGAGGAATGCCGCATTTGAACTCCTTTSGTCATACCGATATCAATYCCTCTTTCTTCATAGTAYCCTGGCCGTTCTGTCTGCGTMGAGGCATCACAAGGTTGCCCCTGAGAGAGATCTAGTGTCGAYTTAGTTTCGACAAGATATTTGATTTCTTCGTCTTGTTCACGCATAGTCTCTTCGTAGCGACGTAACTTGGTCATGAGYGCACGTTCGCGTCGTCGGGCGTTGTTTAGCGATATTTCGTAATCCTTTTCGCGTTCCAAAGCGTCACTTAATTCATCTAGAGATTCTGTCAGGTCTGTTTCTAGTACGACAACCTTTTGTTGAAACTCCTCATTTAATTTCTGAAATAAATATGAAAAATAGGTTTAGCGATCTGTTCAAATTGATTTGAGTAGAAGGTGATCCAATGTCAGGGGCGAATCCAGAAATTTTCAATAGGGGGAGGGATGTATCTATGAATTTTGTGTTTGTCTGTCTGTTCATGCAACAGTGAGAAGAAAACATATACGTTGTTTCTCTGCATAGACCCTCAGCCTCTTAAACAGCAAGCCGTATAAGAGCAGGAGAATCCGCCAAAAACACTCAAACGAMATCATCTTGAGTTACTTGCTTACCTCTCGTTCTTTTTGTTCCATGTAAAGACGAAGTTTCAAGTCGAAGTTTTCTTTCTTAATTTCTTGAATCATCTGTAAAAAAATAAAACATGTTCATTTCAATTATTCTTTTCTACGAGGCATTCAAGAAACATTTCAACAAGGATCTACAAGGCAAAGTACCCACCGTCTCTTGGTCTTTGAATGAGCGAACGTTTGGCGGACCTAAAAAGGCAAAGAAACATTTGTCAGTACTAGTAAAGGGATAGTAGGAGGGTGTTGGGTAGAAATCTTACTCGATAGAGACGCAAGGTTCTCCATGCTGCTTCGATGCATTGCTGAATCTGCTTGTTGGTCGAGTGACGATCTCTCGTCCTCTGGTCTGAAATATAATGAGAGCAACATATTGAAGAGATATCCCCACTGGTGCTGATGATTTATCATCATTATCACACAAAAAATTTACAACAACAAAAAATGACCTGTCTTTAATTCTAGACCATTATAGATGCTCCTATATTAGTATATTATCCAACATAACATAAGATATCAAATCAAAACAAAAACTAAAATCATGGTAATTATATGACGTCAAAATCTGACATGAACTCGAAGATAAGGAATTCACGAACATGTTGTAACATACACTACGTACTATATTTGAACTACAGTTAAAACCGTCCTCTTTTATAAGGTAAGTGCACTCTTCTGGTCATGAAAGCTAACTTTTTGCATGGCCTGATAAGGATATTGTGTGAAATCGGACAGAGCTTACGTAATCCAAAACACTGCTAGTTATTGGGTGATTTCCTAATTGACAGAACTGGAAATCTAAACTTTTGTCAAGTGCACTGTTCTGAACATGACTGCTAAGTTTTTGCATGATCTGATTTGGATATTGCGTGAAATAGAAGAAAGGTTACGTTGGGTTTAATTATAAACGCTGTTAGCTATTGGCTGCTTTCCTAAAGGACAGAACAGGAAACCCAAAGCTTTGTAACAGATACTGATAGAAATGGTTGGGCTAGAGAGGACCAGGTGACTCAATTGTTATATACACTTTTTGATTGCTTGCATGTATGGYGCTAAATCACGGAAAATAGTGTGTGTAATTAACAAGGAAAGATTTAAGATTCAAGGGTCATGATTATTGTGACTTTGCTCGTGATCGTGAASGCCACTCCCCAAATCCTATATATCGGTTTCCGATTGCCAATTTGCAGCGGATTATCACGCGCTTAGTTTTGTTTGGTATGAACAYTGGAGTGCAAACTGAACAGTCGGTGTAAAAAAAACTATTATATTATACAAACCGGCAGCGAAAGCTACTGCATAGGAGAATGTATGTCTTATATCTAAAGTTAGTGGTATTGTTGATTATCATGTTAAAAAAAGGAAATTTTCAGTCTGAAAAGTCAGTATCTTTGTCTCAAAAGCGCGACGTCATCTTTAATCAATTTCTCTGCAAAGCAAGCCAAACGTTGACAGAAAAGTCCTTTTCTACGATTTTTTATATAGGAATGTCTGCTTTGTTAGCCTTATTAAAGACTGTTCTGGCTAATCCACTGAAATAGTCTGCGACCTATGCACTGGTACTGTTTTTGCACTCTATCTTAGTTTAATTATGAACAACAAGTTAGCGTATCCAAGCAATAAATAGCAGGCAGAAGCACGAATGCCATTATCAACATGAAGAATTACACGTTTATAAATTGTTTGATTGTTATAATCAATAATGCGTCGTTTGCGCGATCGGGATCGACATTAATTAATGATATATAATTCTTCGACTGGCATCTTAATATTAAATGATAGATATAATGCTGATGGTTGGCATCAACGATTGACAGATGTTTGATGTTTATTATAAAAATATTTAAAATATTGAGTTCCGTGGCAATGAATCATTTCCTTGTGCAGTGTCTATTACAYTTCCTTGTGATTTCACAACAATTGCAATGAAAAAGATTAAAAACACAGTATACTGTCGACGAGATCCGAACGTTTAAAATTTGTTCAGCGAATCTATGCAATCTCAATTTACAGTGCTGTAATACGTTTTCTCAAAGGTTTCAGGAATACACAACTATTGTGATACAAATTAAAAAAAAATGCAATTTTTTGGATATCTGTAGACAAACAAATGCACAAAATATACTTTAGCACGTTGCCTTTTTTCCCTTTGTATAATATTCATGCTCACTCGAAAAACAAAGAAAAAAGACAAGATCTCGATTCGCAATTATTGTCGGAACATTTTGGAACGTAAACAATAATATATGCATAAGTTTATGTGAGGTGTATTCAGTTCTGTTGGATTACAACTGCAGTAATAGCCTATAAAAATGACATCCAAAATTTATCGATGATTTTAGCAGTTCTGACGATTCTCAAATGCAATTTCTTCACACCCACTTTGTCGCATGATTAGCATAATAGCAGCTACCCGTAGATGCTTTGTCCTCAAAACAATGACATTTCCTTTAAACAGAAAACGCAAAATAAGCGAAGTACGGGCTAAATAACTCACCTTTCAAAGAAATCAGACTTGGTTCGTCTTACGAGACGAGCTCTTGYATCAGWAYTGTAGTCAATATCCTCTCTATTATAMGAAAAAATACAGATTTTGAATCAATTGTTGTTATGTTTTTGAATGAGTTTGGACGCTTTGTCGTATAAATATTCATTTACGACAAAGAGTTTAGCGAGGCGCCAAATTCCTCTATAATTACAGCGAAAAASTAAGCCCTTTYTGTAACAATATGAAAGATTGGGAAACACTTTGTATATATGTAGTTTATTTACATTACAAACTGACCTCTCTAACTTGTCTATTCTTCCAAAACTTTGGGGTCGCTGCTGAGAACGGCGGTATTCAACYCTAGGATTCACAACAAAGAGAATAAAGTCTTAAGTGAAATTCACTTAGCTATAACTAAAAGATGTTTAAGATAAAATTTAGTATAGTTTATAATTATAGTGACAAACGGTGTGCCGGAGTGTGATTTTGTCACATTATAATATTATAAACTACTTGGGGCTAATCCTTTGAGTCAAAGTTCTCAAGAAACCCTTTGTATTTTTGACAASAAACATATTCCATTAAAAWGTGGCATTTATYAAACTTTTAATTTTTCTCAGCTGTTTTCCAGTTARCCGACCTCTGGTTTTAAGCTGTCATTTGAGATGTCTTACCTATTGMTAATATYGATGTCCGCTCTGCCAAAGCTTCGAGGTCGAACTGGAGGCGGCGTATAGTCAGTCCTGAATAAAAATATATYATTATAAAAGCATGAATAAGGTTTTATAGTCTAATATAGCCTTTGAGGCATGTAATTGTGCCATTAGGGAGATAAATATACTTGAACAGACTAACTAAACACATGGTGAACATAAATGTTTTGTAGAATACGCACTCTGMCTCTTCGAGTTCAGCATCGAAATCCGCTCCATCGTCTATCAGCGATCTTCTATGATAATACATCGAACGGTCAGAAAGATCCGAGTAATAGCCTCGGTTACTTAACCTCGGCCGATCTGTGGATCCTCTCGGTGTAGAATACATCTGATGGCTCATTCCTAGTGCTGCCTGAGTCATTCTTCCACCTCAATAATATACCGAGTATACTAGACTCGTGCGGTCATTGAGCGCAATATAATTTATGCAAGTTGACGAGATGACGTGAGCGACGGTTCATCGATTTTTATAGAAATTGTTATGAAAAGAAATTACGAGAATTAGCGAAGACTAGATACAAGTCGGAGCTCGCTCAGTACGGAAAGGAAGCTTACATAATCTTACGGTTCCTGTCAAAATCATGTGATTCACGAACTTTTTGTAGCAATATGGTACCGGGCATGCAAAGATAATCGGGATAGCCGGTATTCGGCTGAAAGTCGCTGCGTAGTCATGAGACAACACGAAAATTACTTTGGAATCGAGTCATTGATGTGGTTACGAACCAGAAACGTGTAGACAATGTTCCGAAATGTGAGCTGGCCCCTTGTGACTATTTATAGCATATGATGTAGTCAAAACAGCTGTATTTACGAGTAAATTTGTCGATAATGCTTTGTATCAATAAAAGTATTTACAAAAAAAGCAATTCTCTGTGAGATAAGATGTTCCTTTGAATGGATAATGATATTTTCCACTTCTTTCGCTCACATTTGAAATGGAAATTATTTTAATTTTTAGATGTCGCAATATCTCATTCATTTTTCGATTTACCTTGTTGAAGTGATAATCATGTCGTCCATTTTCCTGCTGTTTCAAACTAACCAAATCCTACTAAGTTTATACCGCAAAGTTTTTTATCTTGAAGTTTGTAGTATCCTATGCTTGAAAAGCCACAAYAATAGCTTCGCGGTTTCGACTTCCCGCTCTTGTCCTTCCTTTCGGTCGGGTTACTCTGTACGCGCGAACTTTAACGTTTTATCGATGTTCACTTCGTCGTGCAAAACATTTCTTCGGTAGCAGAGAAATACACAAAATATGCTCAAATCGATGGTTCTTGAAATGTTCATAAATAACAAGCCAAGTATTAAAAAAACTGATTTTAATTTTGGCTCATTTAGAGCGCTGAATAAAACAGTGTATTAATTTCGTTCTGCGCCTCGTTTATCTCAAAAATGACAATGAAATTATGATAACTTCCCGTTAAAAACTTAAATGAATGAGAATGTCGATTCGCAGCTTGATGAATTTATTGATGGGAACTTTAGGCATTGAATTAATAAGTTTTACATAGGATTTTGCACAAATATAGTCCGATAAAAAAAGGTAAATACTGCCAGCAAAGTCGGTGATGAGTGATATTGCTACGTAACAGCTAGGTCTCGAAGAACAATCACACACATCATCCATTTAATTCATTTAAAGCTAAAATCTCATTTTAGTTCCCTTCGGCGATTTGGCACGTTCGATTTTTCCAACAAAAGTCAATTCACGTTGCTCAGTCTAACTGCTGTGCAAGTAATATTTATGAAGTGAACGAGCAACGGGCAATTCCTTTTAAGGTAGCCTAAATTTGTTCGTGTTTGGACAAAACACGACGAAAGAAACGATCACAGCAATYAACTCACCTTAAAAGAAAGATGTGCTATATTTTCGCCTTTAAATCCCAGTCAAACGAAACAATATTTCACCTTACGAAACGGTTAAAATATTGATAGAAAAATTGGCTCAAGAACCTGACTAAGTTTGTCTTTATGGACCAATAAGATTGCTTTATTTCACATTATGCATAAATATCGCAAAATTATGTTAATTTTAACAAAACAGCTGATAAATCAAACGAGTTAAAAGGAACAGATCGGATAGAAAACGTGGCGGTGTGCATCRAATATATTGTTCAAGAATGTTTATAGCTGAAATTGAAATACAGTTGGAAAAAGAAATAAAAGAATAAGGAAAACTGATCGATATAATTTGTGCTCAGTCGATCGAAGAAGTCATGCTGAACTGAGTCCGCCAAACAATCCACAGGGATCCCGGTCTTCATAACACAGGGAATCCAGTTTTTTTAATGAAACTTGCTCGCTTTATTACTACTAGGTGCGCCGCAAAGTTTTGCATGATTGGATTTTTTCCACGTATATTTCTCCAGAATGCTTGCATCTAGAAAGACAAATATCACATACTAATCAAGCATGCTTCCACGGGTTATTCCAGTATCCTCACAGGTGCGCGGGCCGTGATATTCGTGCGCAATACCGCTGAATGAGTCATTTTTCATATGAGCAAACCTCGTAGTTCTCTTGGATGGACCTCCCCAGATACTTCTCACAAATCGGCGCGCCACGCGCATCAAACCGAGGTCAGGGTAAATTAGAATGCCGAAACAAACTCAATAAAATAGTTGAAAAGTACTTTACTCACTGCTAAAACATAATATATTCTGTTTTTATTTTGTTGTTTAACCATAAAAAGCAGCTAACACTAGCATTGCTGCATCGTTAGTCAGTTTGAAGTGATTTTGAACTAAATTCGCTGCCGGGAAAGTGCACGAAAGAAAATGACAATACTCAATACAATAATGTGAAAACGCATGGAATTTGAAAAGAAAGACAATAGAATTGATATGAAATCTCACACTTTTATTCTCACAATTACGAATATTTTGCGAAAAAAAATGAAAAGTAAACTCACATTAAACTGTGGAAAAAGATATTTCAACGGAGATTTGTGGGAAGTATCTGGGGAGGTCCATGCCAGTTTTTCTGTACTTGCTATAGAATTTTAGAATTTATTAGAATTTATTATCTTTGCCCAAATTACATAAACATGCAACAACATTGAAAACAACAAAAGATATCATTACAACAAATACAAAATAATATTATAGGGGCAGGGACACCGCAACAGTTTGAGCCAATTACTGCGGACCCGAGCTATACTTAAATAAAGAAAAACAAGAAAAACGGTCGAACAATGATATTACAAATAATTAAAAACAACATGTTAGATTGGTAGTGAGGCTTCTCACACCGTTGCAGTCGGGACAGATAGATTTCCAAGTTTTAGGTACTTCGGGGTCATAATTTAGAGTCAAAGCAGTGAAGTAATATTTCAGTAAAGTATTTCTAAATAAGGAAAGTTTGGAAAAGCTTGAACTGTCAATAAAGGTAACTAAGTTATTCCAAATACGAGTAGTCCTGACTAAGAATGATTTCTGAAAAGTAGTTGTTTTACATTTACGAGTGAAAAATTGATTTGAGCCTAAATTGGTAGTAGATCTAGTAGGTTGAGATAAGCGGACTTTTGGTATAACAGAGGGGTTTATATCTACAATCCCATTTACTATCTTAAAGAAATAAATTAGATCTAAGTACTCATGCCAGTATGTTAGTGGCAGTAAATTTAGTTTCATGAGTCTGTCCTTATAAGAGAGTCCACAGCGGAACGGTAGCCCCAGTATAAACTTAGAGGCCCGTCTCTGGATCCGTTCAACTTGTCTTGTAAGCTCCTTCGTCTGCGGGGCCCATATYTGGGTTGCATATCCAASGTGTGGTCGTACGAGGGCTAGGTACATAGATCTTCTAATAGCTGTGTTCTTAATAGTTCTCGAATTACGTCTCACAAATAGTTTTGAAAGCATCAAAGGCGTTTCAGAATCATCTATTTGCAGCTTCACGAGTTTGACGTAGCGTCCAGTCGGAAAGAGGATCATGGATCATCGACACCAATGTTTCAGTAAACTTTTAGCAACAACATGGGTAGGTAACAATTGATCGTTTTCACCCATTCCCATGAGATTCAAATGATAAAAGACCGGTGGCCATGTTGGAGGAATGAACAATAGATATTAATGAGAAATCCTTTCCTCCACAATAGCCGCTGTGACGTATAGTGAAAACAAAGAATATCATCCACGTTTCCACGCGGACAAATTTTACCCCCCCCCCCCCCCCCCCAAAAAAAAAAAAACAAACAAACAAAAAACAACAACAACAACATGCGATTTCACGATGACCTACCTATCGACGGGCCGGGAATCGTCTCTTTTTTTCCGTCGCAGCACGAACATTCTCTTCATCGCTTTGATGTACCAAGCTGATGCACCTGGGCCATGTTACACAACTCTCAGTAATTTATGCTGTATTGTTCGGTGTCCCCTGTAACATCATCTTTTCCGAGTTCCTTTTATCGGCTCATTTTATTTTTTGTGTCTTTATACTCACTATTTTCAAAATGGCATGGAAGCCTGTGCGACCCCTTTGCCTTTTGATGATAAGAAGAGCAGAGCGACCTCGGTACCAGATCCCATTGTCTTTGGATTGACCCCAAAGAAACAAAAAGAACTGAAACATTTTTTCGTAACAGGGTTGCGAGTAGTCTCCTTCGCAGCCTCCCCTTTCGTCGGGCTTCCTGTCCCTCCTGTCTTTTGGGAGGACCTGGGGACAAAGGTATGGGATCAATGCTGTATATGACCACAGTATACACAGCCTCGATCTTAATTTCCTTTTATTTTAGATACTTTTTCAGGGTTGAAGAAAATAAACGGGAAAATGAAGCCAGGAGAAGAGGACTGTTGGCTAAAATCCTCTTCTATTGTTGTTATAGGCGTCTTTTGCGAGTTTTGTTACTGTTGTTTTGCTTTTTGTTGTTTTGCTTTTTGTTGTTTTGCTTTTTGTTGTTTTGCTTTTTGTTGTTTTGCTTTTTGTTGTATTGCTTTTTGTTGTTTTGCTTTTTGTTGTTTTGCTTTTTGTTGTTTTGCTTTTTGTTGTTTTGCTTTTTGTTGTTTTGCTTTTTGTTGT